TGCAACATTTACATATGTTGTGATATCTAGAGTTTTCTGATTTTCTGCACTGCTTTCTTTGGGAGCTCCAAACAATATATGTTTCTTGTCTTCTTCATTGTGATTGACATTGCTTTCAATATTTCTATGTGAAGGTATGCTGCTGTTTTTGCAGCTTTTGTTGCTGGCATGGCTTGTTTGGTTGGGATTGACTTTGGTGCAAAGCTTCTTGCATGCCTCGCTAAATGTTTTGAGGTTCTTGATCTTTTGACAAATTTCTTAATCATGGATTATTAGCATTTAAAATACTGAGTAGTGACTGAAACCTCTTATCACCTTTGAAATATAAAGCTTTTTGCTCCCTCGTTTGCTGCTTCCTCTAGTCTGTGACTAATTCACTGTGTTCAATCTTCAGGAAGAGTATCTTGAAGAAGACAATTTGTCTTTGCGGAATCTAACTCTTTTCCTTTCCTATTTATATATTTTCGGAGTTTGTTCAAGGTTAGTAACATGATTGTAAAAGCTTTTACCTGTCACTGTGAATTATGTTCGCAACCTTGGTATAAGTCACCATTTGCACAGGCATGGCCGTCTACCATGCACCGTTACATTTACAATTCCTTTTTCCTTGAGATTATGTATTATTTTAATGACATAGCATGTTGTTACTATTAGAAACTGCCGTGTAATACATGCATTATTACAGTGAGAGAAAAGTGGACATATTTTTTCCTAATATTTTCTCTTTTATCTCTTTCCCTCTGATTGAATTCCCTATTTGACGATTTTCAGTGAGTTGGTGTATGATTTCCTGATAATGCTTAGCAAACGGTTGACAGAGGTTGATGTTTCTACAGTCTTAACGGTTCTGCAAAGTGAGTCATATTTAGTCACAAATTTTTATATTGTAATTAAGATTAGGATTCAGATATCTAATGCATTGTTGTCCAATTAGTTAACAATATTTGCCAATAAAAGAAAGGGGAAGGGAGAGACAGATTAGAGAACTAGCTGCTTTTGCTTTTGACTTTAGCTTTTCTTTTACTGAATTCGAACACATGTTTTGATTGATTTCTAAAAGTAAATTGGTTAAGGTAAATAATGTTTTTTGAAAGTGTGAAGTTTCTTAAGAAGAAAAGACATGTTTTTAATTTTCTTACGAAGAAAAGAAATAGAAAATGTGATTGTGTGGTTAATTTGTTGATCTTCTGGTTTCGATAGTTCATAATTTTTATCCAACACTAGTTCTGATAGATTTTTTCCTTTAGTCATCATGATTAACTTTTTCTTTACCATATAATTTGCTACTTTTCACCTCAACCATCAAAATAATAGAGATTCAGATATGGTACATCGTTTTTGGCATTTAACAGACTCATAAAATAGGGCACTCATAATCACCCCAGTAAGTATGACCAAGAGGTAGCATGTGGTTGCCTGGAGTTGTACATTTTAAAAGCTAAAATTTTTGCTGACTTCTGCCATAAAATACTTATTCACCGTTTCTGATCTTAATCATTATTTATAAGAAGCACATGGTGCTTTATCCAATAAAAATCTCGTGTATGAAGCTATAGAAAGAAACAACAGGGATCTAGTATATCTTAAAGCTTTTATTTAAAAGATCCTTGGTATCACCGTTTGTAAGTAATTGCACATTTAGTAACTCGTTTTGCACTTGGTATGTTAAATTCATCAATTAGTACTGGCTGCTCAGAAAATTATCTTAAAGTGCTTCTGAAACAGCTTGTGGAATGAAACTGAGAGGAGATGATCCTGTTGAGATGAAAAACTTTATCTCAAGTGTTCAGAGTCGGGTAAATGAGATGAAGGCCTCTTCTGGAGATGGACAATCAAATATAACCAGCAAAAGGGTGTGTTTATTTTGAATTTTTTGAGTGGGTTTTATGGGATTTGTTTTCAAGTACTCCTGACTCTCTTGGAGTTTCTGCAGATGGATTTCATGCTTGAAACGATATGTGATATAAAGAACAACAAAAAAAGACCAAAGGAAAATGCTGTGCAGCATACCAGAATAAAGAAATGGTTACAGGAGGTACTTTCAGCCTGACTTTCTTGGATTTGCAGAGAACGTTTCTTTCACCCTTTTCTTATTTTGCTTATGTATGACACAAGCTAACATCCTTTCCCACCACATGCTCTTATTATGTGAAGTATAAAGACGATGCAAGTTGGTATAAGAACCATTGTTAAAAATTGTTTAGTACAGACACTCCTAGGGTGGAGTAGCACTTTCTGGACACTGATACACCTCAACACATGACCAACAGGTCATGGCGTTCTCTCTATTTAGTTTTCTATATATTTTTTTTAAATTACGACTCGCAAAGGACATGATTCTGACATGCCTTGAACACGTGTCACGTGACATCATATTTTTATATCTTTCAATATTTACTAGCAAGGTAGACGGCCCGACATGTCAGGGACATGATTAGCTCAATTTTATAAATTTTTAAATATAAAATACAGGAAAATTTTTATTATTAAGAATCATGTGAAGAAGTTAATATATGGGAAAAAAATTGGGCATATTTTATCTCAAGCTGGTTTTATGTCCACTCTATGTACTTTTGATAGATGATTATTTATAATTTGTTGGCACTAATAATATAAAGTACATCCCTAAGTTATCTTGATACAACAAATAACCACTTCTTGAATTTAAAATATTTCACTTGTAAAACTTAAAAATGAAGCCAAACAAAACAAGTATTGACTTTATTGAAAAATTAAGAAGTTTAAAAACAAAGATATAATTTATATTTTTGCAATATTTTAATCAATGTGTCCAATGCATCTATGTCCTACTTTTCTCAATATTTGATGTTGGCATGTCCATGTCGTGTTAAAAAATTAGCTAACAAGCAAATCCAGATTAAATTCACAAACACACATTACATTATATGCTAATGCAATATTTACAGTGGCATATATCATCCATGTCTGCATATCTAATATATATGTTAGCATTTCTTTTACTTCATTCGAATTTTTTAGATCTATCTATAAATTTCTCCTTGCTTGACTGAGAAAGATAAGTTCCAAAGAAAAATGAAATTGATGGCTGGAATAATTAGCCTTTGTTTCGGATTCCCTCTTAGTTGCTAAAATTATAAGTTGGTAGAAATGAATGGTATCTAAATTGGTAGTAGGTGTGTGTCACACGAAATATGTCATTAAAATCAATATTTGAAAAGTATTTAGCAGCTTTTAAGGAAACCCAAACAAAGGTTTAGTTTCATTACAGGAAGAGTCTCTATAAGAATTACGTTGAGATATAGTTTAGTGTTGTATATTTTCAAATGAATGTGATAACTTTAAACCTCCATGTTAATATTCCTCTCTATATATTGTCGTGTTATCTCAGCTAAGAGTAGTTGACATATTAATTCGAGGGTTAAAATGGAGTAAACTTCTTGACCCTAACAAGAAAGGCCAGTGGTGGTTGTCCGGGGATATTGATTCTTCGACACACA